CGGAGCGATTAGTCGTAGATGCTGCTCTAGCGTTGAAAAGCAAGGGGCATTTGGTGCGGTTCGTGACGAACCATCACGACCGATCGCATTGTTTTCCGGAAACTCGGGATGGAACGGTTGGCGTCACCGTGGTTGGTGAATGGTTCCCGAGAAGTGTTCTAGGTAAATGCCAGGCATTGTGTGCTTACCTGAGGATGATGTTGGCTGCTTTCTACCTTGTGTGGTTCTCTGGAATCAAGTAAGTTCCGTATTTAATCAAGTATGAAACGATTTTTTGCTGTTTTTGCTATAATTGGCTAAATAGAATTTGGTGCGTATATTTTGCGTTAATGGCGTCCAAGATTTCGCAGATGAAATTAAAGATACGCTCTGGTCATCACGAAATTCAAATAATGATCGATTCTCAATTTCAACTGAATGAATATGTACAGTACTTCAATTTCAGTTCCAGGGTATGAAAGTGAAGTCCTGATTTCTATGGCTATCTTCGAGAAGATGAAGCTGCTACATAAAAGCATGAGCAGAATCGACAGGCTTCTCTGAATCTGTATCCATTTTATATGCTATAATGAGTGTGCGTCATAAATTTGCAGGACACATTTTTCAGGCTTACAAAATGGCGGGGGGTCTCATAATACTGGGGAACTTCTAAGTCGAATTTCAAGGGACCAGCAACAAATTTGACACAGGGTGGGTTTGAGTTTGGAAAACGAACATTTGTGTTGGGGAAAAGAAAGGAAGAATTACTGGAAATTGTATTTTGTTATATTCCAGACCTTGAATTGCTTCTTAAATGAGTTGGCAGGATGCTAAAGTCTGAGGCAAGGGTTAATTTGCCCAATTAGTCTTTCACTTTGTTTCAAAACAGATTGTTACATTTTTTATTGCTGCTCTCTTTTGCGTTTAAATAGAATAAAAGCTGAAAGGCCTCCAGAAAATTGTATTCATTGAGATTTGAGGAGGAAAGCCATTACGTTATTTGGGAAGTTAATGCATTGTTTCAAAGGAAATTCAGATGGGAACTTAAAATAATTCAACTCATGAAGTTTTGCGTTATCGAGATTCAACTGTAGATGGTGCTCATATTTTGGCCTTTACAGGAATTTTTCTGTGCCAATAATTGAATTGAATTGAACAGGAAGCTTTATTTTCCAATTTTCAGCATTAACTAGGTTGAAACAATGTTCCCGCATCCAAACCCCCTCCCCTCACCACCCACATTCATCCAAATACATTCTTCACATCAGAATCGAAAAATAGAAAAACAATTACATTGATATTAAAAAAAAAAGAAAATACATCCCAAAAAGTGCAATTGCACAACTGATATAAAATACGTTCTCTTCTCTGTTCACAAAAACAAAATATCAATAATACAAACTGCAGCATGAAGCAATTAATAAACCCAAATTAAAGCAAAAGGTGTTCAACCTTCTCCCAGATGAGGTTTAGTTGATTAAACAAGTTGGGGAGAATCTTTGATGATAAATCATATAAGGTTAACAGATTATATTGGACCTTGAAGACTTTGGAGAGAGTCTTTTCATTGAATTTTAAGAGTCCCAAATCTTTTTGAAGCTCATTTCTGTAGCTGTGTAGCTGTGCAAATAATAAAGGAGTGAGTAAACTGAATATTTTGCAGGTGCGACGTGATTTTTGTGGACCAAATTTCCGTGTGCATCCCGATCCTGCGAATGGGGACCCGGGCAAAAATCGTTTTCTACTGTCATTTTCCGGACCAACTTTTATCTGCTGGCCGTGAAAACTTGATCAAGTCTTTGTACAGGGCTCCGTTGGACTTCCTTGAAGAAGTGACGACTGGGATGGCTCACAAGATATTGGTCAATAGCCAGTTCACGGGTAAAATACTACCCCATGACTCTTATTATTCTAATCAGCGATTGATCCGGAAATTCGATTTCGTTGTAGCGAGGGTTTTTGAGCAAACGTTCAAACGAATCTCGAAAAAACCGGAGGTGTTGTGTCCGTCGATTAACACGGACAAGTTTGATGAAGCGGTGAGATTGTTGGAAGAACATCTGGCGAAAGGAGACGTGCATTATTTCCCGACTNTCTGGCGAAAGGAGACGTGCATTATTTCCCGACTGACGAGCTCGGAGGCTTTCGTTACTTTTTGTCCCTCAATCGGTTTGAAAGGAAGAAGAACATCGATCTGGCATTCAAAGCTTTTTGTGAGTTGATAGAAATACTAAGAGAATCCGGAGAGTCAACGGATTTCATTTCCTACTGCTTCCAGTTGACCGAGAAACAAAAATTAAGAACTTTCATGCTCATTTTATTCAACAATTTGAAATCCGTATTCTTTTGTGAATTTGGAAAAGTCCCGGAAACTTCGGACGACACCTGAAATTCCCGATAGACTATTTTCTGCTCTTACTAAATTTTCACTGCTTCGTTTATTTCAACATTTTTTGACAAAATGGATAATCCTGAATTGGGCATTCTTTCACTTGGCTGAAATGCGAATTTTTTATATTTGTTTTCTTTCCCTTGAAGTTTCACGTCTTAAACTGAAGTTTTTGCTGTAAAAATTTCAGGTTAGGGGAAGCTGATGAACGCTATAAAGGGTGTCAGCAATATTGTTTAGTGCAGAAAAATCGTGCATTTTCGTTTTATTCAAATTCTCATGCGAATTAGGTGTGATGTGTTCTAGCGTCTCTGAACAAGCAATTATGCTGTGTTATATTTAAATGAATCCAGACATAACTTGCTGGTTTTAGAATGAAAGGATTAGAAACGAACATTTCTCATAAATTACCTGCTGGATTTTCTTTTAGGACACCTTCTTTCTGAGAATTACAGTACTAGTAAGACTCCTTGGAATTATGGATTTGGCCCTTAATCTAAGAAATGAAGTTGCGTGAAAATGGAAAAAAAATACTTGACCGTATTAACGTTTTGCGTAAAAAAAAAATGTTTAAGATGATCCACTGACCTTATTTCATTATTACTTTATTTCAGAGTTTTTTTTTTTACTTTTTGCCGTTTCTGCTGTCATGAATTCATTACTGTGGATGGAATGAAATTTTTGAGATAAATCTGAAGCTGGCGAAGAACGTTCATCTAATCAGGATAAATTATAATGAGTCT